GCGATGTTTTCTCACCTCCTGCTTCCCACTTCACTGCTCTTGTCTTGTATAAAAGTTTGTCTCTGAAAATCTGGTATCATTTTGGTTTTGGGTTCAGGTCCTGATTATGCAGTTTCACAATTGCTGTGCCAGGTACCAAGGTTTGAGGGTACCGACTGCAGCATCCAGCACCAACCTTTTTTCTCTCGAGTGCCTTCAAGTTCTTGAAGTTCCTTTTAATTCATCTTCCGTGTAGATGTGAAATAATAAGAACCATTTCATAAGAACTCCCGTAACTCATTTATTACTGGCTGGTAACGAGTAACAAATACTCATTGATTACATGGAGCAATATTCTCTGCTAACTTCTCACTCTCCTTGTTTTCAGGTCCACCAAATCCCGCAGGGAGACAGACAAGTGAAGCCTCCGAAGCCCAAGAGGAGGAAGATCTCCAGATAACATTGAATGTCTTTGTTACTGGTCCAGTACTTATCAAATCGAACGTGCACATAAGTCGCCGTGTAGGTATTGATATAGACGTGCTTATATCAATATTTCTGTGAAGACAGATGATACCATCGCAGGGTGCTACGCGGAGTAGGGGTACAGTATTTTTGATGATTAGGAGGGGTAGCGGTCGCTGGATAAGCCAATCAGAAATCTCGAAAGGTTGCAGTAACAATGTCAGATGATTACTGAATTTTTTTTTTTCTATAATACTAAAATTGTGATTATAAGAAATAGTCCAAATGTTTCTGAGAAATTTTCATTGTGTATATAGATAATACAGAATTTCATGGTGATATCTGAAATGTAAATATTGTACAATATTGTCATGTACAAGCGTACCTAATGCACACTTTATCTTTTATTGTACAAAAAATAGTGTACAAAATTCTTTGGTTTCTATTGAGTACACATACAAGAGACTACCAGTGTAAAGTGATAAATAAAAATACAGCCTAAATGCTTTTATATGATAATGTAAAAGATGCTGTTTTTGTATTTAACAGCAGAGAGAAGGCATGATTATGTAAAACCTTAATCCTGACACACACTTCACGCCACCGCGTGTTCATCGACGCTGTCTGTTTGGGATGAACCGTGCCTGGAAGTGCTGTAGGAGAGCGCAGCCTCGCAGATTCCTGTCGGGATGTGGGATCACAGCTCTTAATTCAGAATTCAGAGGCTGCAACTGCCGGTTGCGTTTTAATTTACTTAACTTTTAAAGTAGAATGCTGTAGATTTTATGAAAAAGGAAAAAAAAAAAAAGTAGATGGGCTATTTTAGTCAGCCATTTCTGTAGTTAAAGTTTCATAGCCACCTGATAAACGAAGCAGTCGATACCCCCTAACGTCGGCCCCCCAAAACCCCTAGGTTTATTAGCTGAAGTTGTCTAACGTCGTTAACCGTCGTGTTTCCTTTGGAGGGGGCAGAGGCCCTGCTGTAAGGATGTGATCAGGATCGATTCCGGTTTGGGTTTGCAGTGAGTGAAAGGGCAGAAAAGTGATTCCAGTGTCCATCTCGCAGTATTAGACCAACAAAGTAAGGGTGGCTTACCAAACTATTAGCGACAGTAATTTTTATCAGTATTATGTAACATATCAGATTTATTTTATTTAAAAAGAATTATTTATACCATTAACAGATTCTTATATATATTAATGTGGCTGAAATGTGCAGGTTAAATCTATTAACCAAATTATTTATGTTATATTAAGTGAGAAATGTGAAACATATGTAGAAAAAATGAATACACTACAGATTTAAAAGTCTAAAGCTATGAGCCATTATAAAATTAACGAACGGAAGTGTAGCACAACATTATTTCCATTTTATTTCATTTTTCTTTCTAACACGGATGGTGGTGATGGTGACGGGAGCGATGACATCCTCTGTCTTCAAGGCTTCCCGAAATAACTCAGTTCACCATTCCTGGTGCTGGGGTGGAGTCCATAGCCCCCACCTCTTCATCCAGGACCACCACTTACCTCAGATTTCCTTTTCCCCTCCCAAATTCCCAAATCTGACTCTGTAGCTAAGGACTGGCAGTGATCAGCATCCTGGGAAGCTGGCGGTAGCGCCGCTCTCCAGACCCCAGTGGCCCTGGGCGCCAGGATCCCAACTCCTGGCTCCTCTTCCCGTCCCAAACTCCTCTCTCCAAAGGCCGCGAGCGGGAGCGGCCGTCCCCGAGGCTGACAGCGCCCAGTGGCTCCCAGCCCTGGTTCTCACGTGCCCTGGGCACACAGCACTACCTCTGGGCTCGCCCCTGGGCCCAACGGCTCCGCTCCTCCGTCCTCCGGCCAGAGGGATGGCAGCGGCCACGCTGGCCATGGGGGCCTGGAGCCGGGAGCCCTTCCTTGACGGGGTAGGTTCATTTGTCTTTTCTGTGACGCCACCGTCCTCCACGCAGGCTCACGTGAAGCGCTTGATTTTATCCATGTTTTTAATAATTATTTCGAATTTTTTTGGGGGGTGGGCGGGTGTAGTGTAGCTCACTGTTTTCTGTTGCGCGTTGACGTGTCTGTCCCAGGAGTCGCTGTTGTCCCTTTCCCATGCCGTCCACCCGCACCCGCCGGGGTTTTCTCCATCGCCGCGTGTGGGAGCGCCCATCTCCATTTCTGTCCATTTCTGTCCCGGCAGCGAGTTTGTACTGAGAGACCCCTCTTTTTGGCTTCTTTTGACGAATTAGGTTTGTACTTGCTCACCAGCGTGTACTTTACATCAGCAGAGCACGTCAAGTATTCTAGTGCACTTGATTTCATGGGTTACTAACGGCGTTGCTGTGGGTGCTAGGAGTAGCTGCTTTCAGTCCATACCGATTTTCATTTTTTCTTTCCTCTCTCTTTTAGAGTTTTTCTGGTTTCATGTAAGCAGTAAATGTAAATATTGTGAGCATTACAGGTCATGCGGTGTTGTAACATTTTAAAAAATGTTGCACCTACTTTACAATTAAAAAACTGGTCACTCGTACTTGAATTTTGCCCTTAGAGCCATTTCTTTCTCTTTGCATTAAAGCATAATATACTTTTTTGATGGAGGCCCAACCCTTCTTTCTACCTTCGTATTTTTTTGGTTAATAAATCTCTATTTTTTCTAATAGAAGACTTAAAAAATGAAAAAAAAATAATAAAAAAACCCAACTTTTTGCCTACTTTCTAATTTAAGAGAGAATTGCTATATTTAAAAGGTGAACAAATCCTCCATGGTGGAAAGCGGAACACCACTTTGTTTGTCATTACTATGGCACAGTCACACGACACCGAGCCGGCCGAGTGCAGCGAGCTCACGGCGCCCGTCAGGGTCTCGGTAGCTGAGGGAGCGACGCGGTTCTTTGAGGTTGTAAAGTGTTGCGTTTTCTTGTCTTAACTTATTTATTTATTTATTCTGCTTTCTTCTGCGCAGTGGGTGACAATGTGGTCGAGTCATTCCGATGACGTTCCAATTAAAGGACATATTTCCTCTTTCTATTATGGTGCATTTTGTGAACACCATAAAAAAAAAAAAAGGAAAAAAGAAACCTATTTTCATTTCTTTCGATGGATTTTTCTTCGTATTTTCACTTCTAGTTTAGCTGCAAAAATAATACCCACATAGTTTAAAAAGAAATAAATCAGAAATTTAAAAAAAAATAAATAGAAAATTAAAAAAACCCAACGCCCACCTCTGATGTCCCAGGTCTGTTATCCTCACAGTCGAAGGTTTTAGGGGTTAAAAAGAGTGTAAAGGTATTTCCTGCATCAACTTTGCAGGAGGTTTCTACGTGATGTGATACCGTTTTGGAGTCCCTGCGTTCGATGGTGTAGAGCTGTTAGCGGGCTCATGGTGGACTGAGTTACCTTAGGACTGCTACCTTTCTTAGCTACACTTTGTATTTTGCTATGTAGGGTTGTAATGTGAAAATTCCAGAAGAGCAGTAGCATAAAAGTGCTTTTCTATTTTTAAAAAAAAAACAAAACCCATTCTAGTCTTACTATAAGAATTAGAGATTTTTTTAATATCAGTTTTGTAATTTTTGATAAAGTTGTCAATATGATGATTAAATCACCAGAAAAACCAGTTCCTGTGATGTTCTCTTGGGGGCAGGGACCACGTCTACCGATGGATTTGGCAGATGCCACGATGGGATGCCCAGTCCTAAATGGGCACCGCTGGCAAATTCAGTAGCAGCCACCAACGTTGAGGTCGATTTAAGTGCAGGAAAGCCAAGAGAATTCACAGTTAAGAGTGCAAATCCCATTTGCTGTCCTTAGTTTGCTGCTGGTGAAGGTAACGTCGATGTCGGGTGCACAGCTGATGGGTAAGTTGAGGCAGCCGATGGTGCTGAAGGTTTTCCATGCACAACCCAGGATCTTCTCACCCAACTCGAAGCAGATCCACGCAATAACGCAGCCCTCGCTCCCCTCCCTGGTTTTACCGGTGTTAACTGAGCAACGCAGCCTTCGGGATTCCCCCAAAAAACACCATTAACCCAGTGGTTCACTGATGTATGACATCCCAAACACCTGAACAGATCAGAATTCATTGCAAGCACAGTTCGTGCTCTAGGAAAACACTTCAAGACTTCAAAAAAAACCCCAAATTATGAAAAAATATTTCCCTATTTCTGGGACATGAGCCCAGGGGCTTCCTGAGGATCCCCTGAGCCTGCAGGCCACCACACCCCAAGCATTTCTGCCCTGCTGCTGGCATCTCTGACCTGGTCATCATGAAAGAGGAGGTTTTACAGTTTACTCATTGGCTGTGAACACTTAAAAGAAATTTTTGTTGTTGCTTTAAAAAAAAAATAATAGATATTGGATTTGAGACATCCCCTGTGAAAGCGCGTTCTGGAGACACTTCATTTGTCATGTTTTTACCTGCTGCGAGATAAGTATTTGTAATTGAGTGCCATCCCAACAGAAGATAAGGGGTTAGGATTCAGAGCAGGAAAAAATAATATGTGTATATAGAATAGTGCTGTCTGGAAATTCTTATTTTGGAAAAGATGTGGGAAATGGGAAGGGTTTGGACGCAGTGGAGTGGAGAAGGCAGAGTGAGAGCATCCCCACGTCCTCCTGGGTGCAAACCCCAAGGAAGCAGTGGCAGAGGTTGGCACAAGTGAGGATGACCGTGCCCGTGCGGTAAAACCACAGCCAGAAACAGCCACAGTGAGCAAACTGCGACCCAGCCACCTGGAACCGTGCTCACCCACTTACAAATGGGACGGGGAACAAAGTGGTACAGCCAAGGCTGCATCGTGCTGCAGAGCACCTGCAGGTAAGTACTGTGGGCACTGGCGATTGCACTTGGCTAGTGGCAGGGATAGCTATTAACTGGTAATTAAAACCAGGGATCCTGAGAGACGAGGAAAAATAAACGCTCTCGCCCTCGGGAAATGTCAAGATACCAAAGTTAAGGCTGCAGTGCAAGAAAAAAATCCTAAAAGAATAGTATTCTAAAAATACAGAAGAAATGCTTTTGATTAATTTATATATATATATATACACACACACACATATATATATGTAAATATATAACTTAGCCGATGGCTGCTTCACGTGTAGCTATAGCAAGCAACTATTGGTGGGGGTGTTGTCACAGAGTCTGTGCTATGAGGAACCACCAACTTTTCAGACAGAAAACAGGTTTCTAGAATAGGCAGCTTTTTCATCCTACTTCAGAATTTTCCACCTCATCAACCCACAATCGATTTAGGCCTTTTTGAAAGAGAAGCAATTCTTAACTCCCAGTAGAAATACCTCTCATTTTCAGTTCCAGGAAAATAATTTGTTGCTCCTCTTGCTGATTTTTCTCTAGGAAGAGAAAAAGTCATAAAAATTGGGGTTTGCCGTTATCTGTTCACAGTGATGGGAGCTACTCTCTGCTCCTGAGGGAAAAGGGGAGAGTTACCCCTGAAAAATAAGGGAAAACCTCTATTATTCCATTCCATTCCATTCCTCATTTGTTTAATTGTGACTGAAAGGAAAATCTGT